CAATTTATGTCGTAGGTGAAATTCACTCCAAGAACATATCTACAAGTGCAATGAAACTGAATCACTACTTCCATCAGGACTGTGTATGGCTTTTGGATTCAAAAATAGAACGTCAGTTGACTATAGAACTTGCAACGGAGCAAAGCAGTGAGTAGCCGATGCATTCTTACAGGAATAAACGCGTGAAACACAAAAACAATAGAGTTTGACATTTCTTTTGAAGAAATTATGGCGTGATGAATCTCGATTCATAGTTCACTTTTGGTTTTAGGACCGTGTACAGCATGGAATATATCTGCCTACAAATACGATGACAGTACCAATGACAATTTTGGAGAACTACTTCATACTTTCTGTCCCCGAGATAGAAGAAAAGAAATACCCTTGCCTTGGAAACTGGATACAGTGTTACTCAGGTTAGTTTATATGTATTACAATACTTGGATATTATTATTGGTTTATAGCCACAGGAATGCGGTTCTCTATATTTAAAATGTCATTTATTTAAATAGAATTAATGATACTTTTACCGTAAAAGAATTTATATTTGACTATTGAAAAATGCAATATGCTTTTAGAAAGATTAATACATATCCTACTCCAAATTATTAGTTTACGTTACAAGGGCGCAAAATAGGTGATTAACGCACGAGTCGAGTTTGTCGTCTTGATGACAAATATGATAGAGACAAATGCGGGAATTACCTCGCGCCTGAGTTGCGTTTACTATTTTTTTTAACACGCCGTGAGCGAAACGCAATGCGTCAAGTAAAGAAATATAAATTAAATATCAACATAATACACACGCCTCGCCATGTTATGCATACGTTTCGTGATGTTTCGGACACACTTCGCAAAGCTTCGCAGAGTGTGAAAAAATTTGCTGTTTCACACGTGGAAAACAAGCACAAGAAACCACGTTTCGCGCACGAGTTAAAAATATTTTATGTTTGTGTTTTAGTGTTTAAATAAAAGAGATTTATGGATATATTTTCCGTTATTAAACATTATTCAAGAGGTATTTATCATGATTGGGTTATTTGGTTTGAAAATAGTTTCTTAGTTGCTGTGAAAATAGAACTAAAAAAAAGAAATGTGCCTAGCGGAGGGGATATTCGTATTTTTAACAGCACGTATATCAAAGTATACAAAAATATTGGATATTATACCAAATACATCTTGTTATTCAATATTTATGATAATTATATATTAGGTTATCAATCACGATATTCTTGCTTATTGAATTAGTGCAGTGAGGACGGACAATTTGATTGTCCAGGAAGGACAGGCAATGAAAACAAGCAGGGACCATTGGTATTGAGTGAGAGTGGTGTGGGGGAGTGACTTATTGTGAAATAGTTTTTGCATTTTGACATGCTTTTCAGAAGTTTCCATAAAAGGGTCTAATTTCCCCCACACTGAGGGATACTTAGAATTGCAAATTTTTTATACATTCGTAGAAACACTATCTTTGTTATTTATTTGGTTTATTGAATTGAATCGATGCCTTATTTTACGTGGCGAGACTGGGGCCATCAGGCTCGCTCTTCCGTCTGACCACGCAAATTTCGCTACGCTCCTTTCATCAGCTAGCAGAGAAAGAAGGTATTTCTTGGGCGAGAAACAGGTGATTTGAATTCAGCTCAAAGGCGTCATTTAAGCGTGAGGATCTTTTACATGCAAGTAACTCTAATAACATGGGACAGCCGGCTTTACTTCCCCTCCGAGGGAAGGCGTACAAAGGATTTTTTTCGCCCTTAAAATAGATAGGGTTTGACCCCGCCAACTTTGGTATAACAGTCCGATACGCTAACAGTTACACCATTCTCGCTTAGATGAAACTCTTGATTTGATTCCATTTAACGGCACTTTTTCTCTGTGTCTTTTAGATTACGAGCAACAACAGGAACCGCTCCGGAATACTCAATAAGATGGACGTCGCAAATCGTTCGCGCCAACACGCGAGTCTCGGGGCCTACGTCAGCCCCCTCTGCAGCAGCTGGCAAATGGATGGGTCCGTGGCTCGGCTCCCTCCTCGTGTTACTGTGGTACCGCTCATAATGCTTGTGTAAGGAAGACACTTTCACTCGTGTTACCATGTGCCTTTAGAATTGTTCTGCAAGTTCGCACCGACTCCGTGTTTTGTACCAGAAGACTCTTTTGTATCTGAAGGCTGTTTTGTACATGAGACCCGGGGCGTGGAGGAGCTGTTGTTCTTTAAAACGAAGAGGCCGCAGAGAGAAAAAACTTTCGGGAGATTGAGGAGAATTTTGCAAAAGAGTTGGAGATGACGTACATCCATCTCACGAGACATCCACAAGAAATTTACGACCTGAAGTTATTTGTAAATTGAAAGACGGTAGTGACCCTAAATGAGTTATTGAGTGAAATGAATGTTGTTCGAAGAGTGTACCCGCTCAAAAAATTGTACCACATGAAAAGATGTCTATGTTAACTAGCACCAGAAGCGCTGTTGAATGTATTGATGAGAGCGTGGCACAATAAATCATATTGTTTATAAATTGCGTGAATTATTTTATGTCAGTTATTTATGTCTTTAATAATTTAGAAATGTTATTTGCTGGTCGTTTTACTACTTCTTCATAAGTAAGTTAACACATGAATAGTAGAGAAGATATTTTAAATGATGAGGTGGAATCTTCGAGAACACTTTAGCGCTATAAGCGTTGATCAAAACTATGGGGAGGATTTTAATAAAATATAATTTTTTTTCTCTTTAGAACAACGCCATTTAGTGTAGACATTAATTTTATTCTATGACAAAAAATGACCCATTTTTACATTTTTTTACATTTTATTTGATTTCGACAAATAAGTAATTTTTTAACTTTTAATGTCATTTTTAAAGCATTTTCGCTGCTTTCATCGATTTGATTATTATTTTAATAGCACGTGCTTCAAATAATATTTACGAGATGCAACAAAAATTATTTTTCTTCGCTCAGAAATTGCAATGTCTGCCGTTGTGAGTAGTAGGTAATCTGTAGTTCCTGTGCCGCCAACAGCGCCACTGTCGGTTCGTCCGATTTCGGGATAACTAAAGACAGAGACAAATAATCCAAACCAAAATTTTGCTATCAGAGTGCACTTGAACAAAAGGAAGAAGTCTTAATTAGATCAGAAGGCTGCTGCTTGAGTTGTTCATCCGACATTTTTTAATCAAACATTTTATCAAATTTTATACGCAAATTTCCTTTGCTTTTAGGGCATCTCTAATATAGTTTAAGAGCATTTTATTGATAATTTTGACGTTGTTTTAGGTCATCAAAATTCACCCCCTAACATAACATCCCTTCTGCCTTCTTCAGTGACATCGATGAGGGGGAGTTCGAAAAACAGTTGAGAATTGAGTGCTCGTCCTGTTCATTCTTATCGAAGCTAGGATTAATACCGCTGGAAATATTTCATGATAAGCAGGTAAGATATTTTATTGCAAGATTATATAGTCTGTTGAAACATGGATGTTAAAGAAAAATGAAAAAGAAATCGAATGCACACTTTAAGCTCTAAATGATACTACTGCTTCAGATCAGTTCAGACAATTTTTGTACATCTGACGATTATGGCAGTTTTGCGTAGTTAATTTGGTCGAATCATTCTAACTGCATTTCTACCCTTCTCAATGTTTGCCATAATATTCTTGCTATCGAAAAACGGCACAATTTATATTACTTTATTTTGTGTATTATGTCTTTTCGGAGACTTTACCGAAGAAATACATTCCTTGTATTCATTGGTTACTATTTTCAGACGCGTCAACTGCTAAGGTCATTAGTCCCGTACGTATAGTGCATGCTATTTTAATCGCATTACGTGATGGTATTCTTCCTTCGCCGGATGGTGAGATCTGGGGTAGAGCTATTAGTCGGCACGCGAGTCTTTTTCCTAAACGGGTATCTCCCAGCAGTGGGGCACCGTCCTAGCCGGGACAATTTTGAAGATCCCAACTGGGCACTCGACATGAGTGGATGTGTGGGGATTGTTAATGTAAGTGTGTGTAAGCAAGGGGTGAGTGTAGGACATGAAAGAGGAAGGAAATATTGCGCGCTGTCCGTTTTTTATCGCATGCGACTGGATTGGAGCGTAGAAACCACGGAAAATTACCGATGAGAGCAATCAACAACTAGAAATCTCCTCCGAATGAATTCGACCTAGCTACACAAATAGCTAGTATCGAAAATACTGTATCAAATCCTAGGATTTCCCGGTCAGATGCATTGCTGTGACATCAATAGATGCCCAGAGCCATCTACGTCCGTACATTTATCCAGCGAAAATAGATGTACGAAAGCACGTGTAAACAATGAAAAATTACTATTTAAAGAGGTAAAAATTAATAATTAAACCGATTACTAATTCTTTTTTATTTTAATTTTAAAACTTACATCATCACTTATATAGAAGGAATCAATGTTTTGCGTTGTGTGTGTGTACGTACTCTTTATTGTTTTGGCCGCTGGAATTTTTGCACACTCCATCAGAAAGATTACTATTTAGGTCACTTCTGAAAATTATTATTAATAACGCATGGAGTCTTAATATAATATAATAAAATGAGAAACTTTGGAAAACTTTCGGGATCTACTGACAAAACAAGTGTGTTTCTCCTATTTTCAAGACTGCGACCGTATACAACTATCTCATCTTGCGTATCAGATTGAACTTCTAATAAGATCCGCATCGCACTTAATGTCGCTTTTCTCTCCGAATATAGTAAGAGTGTGTGCATTTGCGAAACGTACGGGCTAAACACGTTATGTAGCTTTACTTCACGTGATACAATTGAATTGAATTTGCTTTATTTTACGTGGCGAGACTCGGGCCATCAGGCCCGCTCTTCCGTCTGACCACGCAAATTTCGCTACGCTCCTTTCACCAACTAGGAGAGAAAGGAGGTATTTCTTGGGCGAGAAACAGGCGATTTGAATTTAGCTCAGAGGCGTCATTTAGGCTTGAGGATCTTTTACATGCAAGTATATCTACGAACATGGGACAACCGGCTTTACTTCCCCTCCGAAGGAAGGCGTACGAAGGATTTTTTCGCCCTTAAAAATCCACGGCTTCGATCGGGTTTGAACCCGCCAACTTGGGTACAACAGTCCAGTACGCTAACCGTTACACCATCGCCGCCGCAAAGCCGGCAAATTCCGGCTTGCGGTCTGGAATATGTCTCGTTAACGACTAAAACGTATCACTCGACTCTGAAACAATCGCTATGCTCTGATTTTGCCGTTTCGAATCTCACATATGATATGCATTCACGTTGGGAATTTTTGCCTAGTTATTGTAGCGTGAATTGCAAAGGCAATCCCCTTTGCATCCCAAATTAATCACCTCGGATGTGCCCAAAGCCAACTACCATGTGCTGAATTAGAAAGAGGGTCAATAAATGAAAGGAAGAGAGTGAATGAAAGTAAGAGAAACAAATAGAGTGAAAGAGAAAGAAAAAAAATCTCCGGTAGAGGTACCTCTGTAAAAGGCAACTGTACAGACGTAACATGAGCAACAGTGCAGGTTTTTATAAGTTCTATTTGAAAGGCATTGTTATTCTCATTTCAACATATTCTCCTGGAATTCCAATTCAAAGTGACAAAAGTACAGCCTGTAGTATTATATTTTTGAAATACGTGAAAGCAAACAAAGTAATTTATTGACCAATACAGTAGTAACAATGAATACTTGATGAAAACTAGTATTTCTTGTCTAATTGTTTGATTGTAAAAGTAGAGGAACAAATATTTGATAGGTACATTTTGTGTAATGTTTCATATTATGTAGCGTTAATTACGTAGTCGGGAACCCAACGCGTCTAGTTCATAATTTTGAATATAAAAGAATGGCGTTTAGTTTCAGTCGATTGAACTACATCCTCAAATAAACATTGCATGAAAAAAAATATATTCATTCAATTCGCTATTTTACTTTGAAACTCAAATGCGTTTACACACCATTTGCTCAAAATAGTCCGCAACGATAATGTAGAAGCGTTACATATAATTGAGGTCTTTAGAACATCAGTGAAATAACATTAAAAAAAATGAAAGTTGTAGCTTTCTATTTCAATCGTGTCAGTAACTATAACTTTGGCTGTAACTTTATAACTATAACTTTAAAACTATATAACTTTATACAGCTGTGAGATGAAAGAAAATCTTACACAGGCCAAGTATGGTAGTTACGAAAGAGAAAATGTCATGACTCCTCGACCCCAGACGTAAATAATAAAAACAGGGCCTAGGCTTGAGAACATCGCTGGCGGACAAACGTCGAATGAATCTACCCCTAAAAGGACAAAGAACAAAGGACAAACACACATCTCAGCATTTTCACCACCAAGTGAACGAACTATGTCACCTGAGAATGTGGAAAACAAAAAAAATGCGAAATCAAGCTGGAACGACTCTGCTGAAGAAGTTTACAATTCGTCAGGCTCTCTCAAATATCAAAAACATTGATTCCTAGTGATTCCGGGCGCCTCAACGGCTAAGATCATTAGTCCTATAAGTGTAGTGCATGTTTTTGCTCGGAATGTGGAGGTGATCTTGCCCCGGAGGATGGCGAGATCGGGCGCCGATCTACCGCCGGCTAGCGGGGTTCTTCCCAAACCAGCGGGGCATCACCCCAGCCCGAGTAAGCTCTGAGCTCTCGACCGGACTCCCGGCATGTGTGGAAGTGTAGTGCGTGTAAGTGTTTGTAAGTAAGGGGTGAGGATAAGATAAAGAAGATGAAGGAAAGATCGCGCGCGGTTCGTGGCCTGTTTGGTAGGGTACTGCTCCGGTATTCACGTGGTGTTAATCGGAGAAACCAGGGAAAACTACCGATCAGAGCAGCCGGTCGCTGAATAGGATTGTCCTACAGACAGCGACTGAATTCGACCTAGCTGTCAGGCTGGTGTCAAAATTTCTGCGACTGTCGGGTCTGCCGGCTAGGGACATTCCGATTCTACGGATTGAATTCTGGAATAGATTATTTTCTTTCGATTCCGTGGGGAATCAGTATTCGATTAATTTGCCTCAGATTCTTGATGGAATCGATTCAAAAGGCCGAAATCGAATCAAATGAATACCTTCGACTTTTTTATGTGAATATTCCTGCGCTTTTGTTATATTATTCAGAATTTCCGTCAGTTTTTTTCGTCTTTTATTCGTGTTCTTAGTATTCGTCTTTTAATATTAATGTAGTTATTACTTAATTGTAACTTTACATGTTTGAATTCACCTCCTTCCATGTCTCTACCACCTGCTTCTTTCAAAACAGACTTCTTGGTTCAAATTCCATTTTTAGCATCTCAATTTTTAAAAAAATGCCTGGATCACATTGTGTGAAGTCGTGTTTCTTAGAATCCGTTACAATTTTGATGATTCGTTCATACTATTGTTGATTATACAATATATTATATTTTTCAATAATGTTGTATTAATATATTGTTTAATTGATATATTATATATTTTTTATTTTAATTGTATTATGTAATCAGTAATACTTTAGGGAATCGATACTT